GTGTATTCAAAGAAGACAGCTTTGGTATTAGACACTAGTCACTTACTAGAGGTGTAGACCAGAGTAAATGAAAGATATTGTATTGCAAATTGAGGTAGAACAGCAAGGCTCAGATACTTTTGAATGGAGATGTGTATTTTCACATTTAGAAATCATCCTCTATGTCTCATCAAAATATGAAGAAGTACAGCATGAGAAGCAAATAAAAATGAAACATAAATGAAATATTCATGATATTTTAAGTTTTTCCCGCTAACTACCAGAATGAGTAAAGGTTTCGGGGTTTAAGCAGAAAAGGGAGTTATTACAGTACGTTCCTTCTAATAATCTTATTAGGCACAGTTTAAGAAAACAAGGAAACAACCTTTAGACATTTCTAAAAATGGCTAATAAGACCCTCCTCTTTGAAAGAATGGAGAAGTATACTTGGCACAGATTTTTCCCGATGGCAGCTTTTTGTAAATGTTTTACAATAAGAGTGGAAAGCCCCCAACAAAACAATACGAAGCCAAGCGTTGTGCTGCAGGAGCTTGTGCTGAAATCATAGCTTGCCTTTGCCTGGCATTTGTAGGGTCGCACTCTAAAGGGTCGTTGATCTCTGTGAGTACTTCTAGCTTCTCGTAAAAAGAGCAGATTGTTGGGTGACAGTAGAAATCCCCTTCTTCCTTACTGGCCTTTTTTACTGAGCTCGTGTGAAAGACGAAGATGAACTGTTAAAGTTTGTTCTTGTAAGTTATAAGAGATTTGGCCATGAAACAATACTTACCGGATCATGTAAGCTTTCTTCCTGCACATGCATATACAAACCTTAATATAACAATAATGATTACTGTATACCAAATGCAGGTTTGCTCAGAAAACAAACAGTCTAGCTTGCTTTTATAAACTATTTGTAATCAAAGCTTCTAAAAACGTAAGAAAAATAAACCCAGTTGTTTTCCCGGTACTATTACTGCAATCATCAATTTTAATGCTCTTTTTATTTATATGTATTTTAGCAAAAGTGGTTCATACTAAATAACTATCTTATTAAAACACATACTGTACTGTAAGTAATATGCAAATCTGGTGCACTTTTTATAAGTATGTTTTACACTATAAGAAATATGGCTTGCTGACAATTCTGTTACGGTATTTTTTTTTAAATGCATTAAGAAGTCTCTATTCCTGTAACCTGTCATATCAGTACAAATCACAGGGGAATCAGAATCTGCTGTAAAAAAAGTTTCTGGTTATCCAGAAATGAAACTAAACTTGTACAGTATGTTCTCATGGAAGTCTTATGCATGCTTCTGTTGTTTCCTATCAAAGTTTTTTTTTGCTTCTTTTTATCACTTTTAACCTTTCTATTGTCCCTGGAGTTTCATGTTTGTCACCGGACAGTCCCATGCATTAATAGCATATACTGTACTGTATCTGTAAGGGAGATTATATTTATTTTTTATCTTTAAAGGGGAACTGCAAACCCAACTTCTCAGACCAGTTATTAAATCTTGGAATCAAAATAAATTAATCGTAATCCCAGAATTTAAAAAATTCCAAACAAAGCACAAAATCTTGACATTTTTGAAGTACTACAATATATAGTCACCATGTTGTCACAAACCCTTTGACGACCATTTCTCCTAACACTGGGCTGCAATGGCGTGATCAAAGCTGGTCAACATCTTCGCCATGTGTTTCTTCATCCTAGTCATTAGGTTATTACAGTACAGTATATTCCATAGCATTCACAGTTTAAGGAGCTTGAAGCTCTTTTTGTTTCTCTTTTCTCAAAAAATGTCCCTAAATATAGTGCAAACACACCTTATCTTATTCTGATGCACTTTATAACAGTTCAAATTGTGATTTGGAGTCAATGGACAAAATTATCTAAATCTAAAGATGAATGAACAATAGACGTTTCACGAGCATGTACTGTAATTGGCACAGATCAGTTTCTAGCACTTTCGCTGTGCTTTAGCATTATTTACATTGTCACACAGATGTTCATTAATGACAGAAAACAAGCAGAAAATGGCATTTGTGATGGTGGCATGTAGCAGCACAAGATTGTTTTCCACATTTTCCAGAATTTCCATTCATGTTGCTCCAGACTTCATACCTGGTAATCAAATAAAAAGAGCAAATGACAGAAACCTGAAGATTTTGCACTTGAGGAAATGAACATTGATTTTGGAAATTTAGAAACACAGAAAAGAGCAGGTGGACCTTGTGAAATGCCATTATTGACACTTCGCAGATAGAGCTATTGTCATCATATGGAGCAGAGCTTTGAGAAACTATGGATTTTATTTGTTAATATTTTAACAGAGTTTTTCAGGTTCACCGAGTGAAAGGAACTAAGGAACTAGTTTATGTGTACAAAATAAAATGATCACCCTGCCCAGCACTTAGAATTAATGAATTTAGGATTTCCTCTTACAAATGCATTCCCATGATCACATTTTTCTCTGTTGTTTTCTAGGTTAGTGACCATGGCTTTGGTTACGGAACTGCTATTAGGCTTGTTGAAACTGAGATATTATACTATACTGTACTTAGGGAAATACTTCATGTGCAATAACTTCCAGAACTTCTAATCACAAAATGCAAGGAACAAAGATGTGTATAAAAAGGGTAAAGTCTACACCAGAACCACAGTGGCTCACTGGACAGAGCTCAACTTGGTTTCTGTTGGGTTGTCATTACTTTTATTGACTGTGCCATTTTCTTTGCCCTTTCCCTTGCTGTAATTTTTTCTTTATCCTGTCAGTTATAAACTGTTTGGTAAGATAGATTATATTTAATTTCATTGGTTTGACGTAAGATGCCACCTTGAAAACAGGACCAAAAAGACTAACTAACTATAACACAAGACGCGGACTATTATTATCTGATTATTTTCTAATTATCTGCGATTATTATTTGTTATCTATCATTTAAGATATCTAAAAGCCTAAGGAGCAGTTTAATTTCAGAGGGGAAAAAAGGATCCCAGATACTTTGTTTTATTATCCTAGAAAGAATTTAATAAAATTGAACTTCTGTAAACCATGAAAAGGGGCAGCATAGTGGCTCAGTGGTTAGCATTGCTGTCTTGCAGTGCTAGGGCTCGGCATTTAATTCCTGGGATTCTATCTTGTTGGGTTTGTATTTTATCCCCATGTTCGTGTAGGTTTTCTCCAGATTCTCCAGTTTCACACACAGTCAGAAAACATACGGTACTAGTAGGTTAATTCTGGGAAACCTGGCCCTAGTGTACAGTAAGTGTGAGTGTGTCTCTGTGTGCCCTGTGACGGACTAATGTCCCATTGCTTACTGGGTTAGGCTCCGGCTCCCCTGCTACACTAAAATTGGATACAATCGATGGAAAAAGGAGGGATGGATGGATGGACCATGAAGCAAAGCAAGTTCCCATAGTGTGGCGGAATCTATAGCTCTATAGTATGATCATGACCCTTACAAACAAGACATTTCTTATCAATTCCCAGCCGATTTCAAGATCTCTAAAGATGATTGGAAGAAAGTCAAGGCATTTAATTGTCTCGGCAAGATGTTCCTCCCAACAGTGCCATGTGACCAGCTTGGTGCTTTTGGAATACTTGGGGGAAGAATCACTGAAAAGATCTCAGGGGAATTTCAGGTCGCCTCTAAATACAGGGCATTATGTTATATTTTGAATTATTATATTATGGTTTATTACGGATATATTGTGTCGTACTGTATGTTACACATCAATGGTGGGAGTCTCTAGGCCACTTAGAGAATTTACTCTCAGTTAAGAACATAAGAAAGGTTACAAATGAGAGGGCACCTTTCAGCACCTCAAGCCCATTTGTGAGATTGTAAAATAGGAATTTGATAGATTTCAGAATATCAGTAAGGAGATGACCTGTCACTTTCATTTCTTCCTAACAGCGATGTGCAATGCTCCAACCACAGCTGACTAAGAGCTCGAATTCATTTCACTATGTGTTTATTTTATCCTGACCATTAGGGGTTGTATCATACAGTATATGGCTGTAGAAGTGACAAATACTGTATAAAAAAGGTTTAAACTGCTTTTCAACTTTTCTTAGAAAATGTCTCTATAATACAAACATGCCTTTAGCCTCAGTTATCATGTCAACAAAAATGTTGTTTGGATGCAATGGGCAAAACTCACAATACCATTCTTTATTACTAGCCTTACTTAACGATATGGAAAAAATAAAAATGACATTTACATTGGTGATGGTGCAACACAAGATTCACTCATTCTGTTCATGCATATTGTGCAAACATCATGCCTGACAGACAAAAGAAAAGAGTAAATAAATGAAACATTCAGAAGATTATCATTGATTGCATAAAATTTGAAAAGTAAATTGGAGCAGAAGCTTTTGAAATAGGCATATTAATGACTTCCAAATAGAGTGTGGTCCATCATAAAGAACGGAGCTTTAGGAAACTGTTGGAGTTTTCTCAGAGGGAATTCCATCTGACCTTTCCAGAAAGGAAGATCTTCATGGAAAGAAAAGAACCCAGTGAAAAAGAAGTTGTCTATACAACATCACCCTAGACTACAAAGTATTCTATATTGATTATTTCTAAAATAAGAAATGTCCGGTGCCTCTCAATTTAGGTGCTAAACAATCATTTGTTTTGCCATAATCATACATTTTTAAATAATGAATTTATTATTTTCTTCTTCTCTGCTTTGTTGGTGCACAGGGATATTTATTTAGGGAACTGCCTCTACTCAGTGTTCGCTGAAACTGAGCAAACCTCAGGTAAACTGAAATATTAACATTTGGCAACCAACACACGGTTTTTCTGTAGCAGTTTTCAGGGATTTCTTGTTATGATTTTTTTTTTATTTAACGTCAATCCATTCTTTTGTTCCTTTATTCATCATCAAAAGTTCATCTTCATCTTAGGAGTTAAAGAGCTTAGGGACACATGACTTCCCTGAGAAATAACACGCCTCTTGGTGTACTTCTCAAAGTGAAACTAAAGAGTATAAATGGACAGGGATCCAGACTCTTAGCAGCAAAGAGGCAAGTGGAGCATTTGCAAAAAGAATCTCTCTCTCCCTCTCTGCCAGAAACAACATCAGCTTCAAATATGACTCGCAGCATCTCCTCTGTCTGTGTATTGGTATTCCTGATCTACTGGTGCTCCAAAGGTAAGTAGTTTGATTTGCTCAAATATTTTGTCTTCTGCTGTCTGTCATTATATCTGTCTTCATTCACATATCCAAGACCATAGCAAACACATGGTGCAGCATAGTCTTAGCTGGAAAATGTTTGCAAGCTCTCCAAAGTCTGTGAAATATGTAAATATTAGCTTAATTTCATGGATGTTCTGTCAAACGGATGTCTTGGAAAGAAGTCCCTGGGATAATTCTAATGAGCTGTATTTAAGAAGGACTATAAGCTTCAGAAAGATTAAAGTATATTTCTTATACTTTATAAGATCTTGCACAGCACCTGAAAACTACAGTACTGTGAATTTAGTTTGTTTCAAACCTATGCACAGATGATTGCACCACTGCATAATAAAGTATTTCACCTGATTTAAACCTTAACTTTTGATGGAAATATAATATAATTTTTTTTAATTTATTGATTTTACATATTTTTATTTATGATTTTCAATTAAAGAACAAGTAGTTTCAGAACGCTTTGCACATTTGAAATGACCTCTACGTCATAAAATTCATCATTAATTTTGTCATTAAATTGTTTAACATGTTCCTGAGGAAATGATGAGAAACAATTAGAGTCATAATGCAATTCCAATAAAGCTGTCAGATTCAACTTTGAGTTCTTAAAATAACAGGTTAAGTAGAACACAGAAATTACCTGAATGGTTTATGTAACAGAACAAGCCCTCCTATTCATATCTCCTGACTCAGTCTTTTGACTCACAATGGGTGTGAGTCACTGAACTTACAACAGGTGATAAACATGCAGTGTCTTATCCATGTAAGCAGAGTTGTTTAAACTGTTGTTTCACCAAAGCAGGTGTTTTGTTAAAGATAAGAATTACTTCTTATGACTGCTAGAGAGTTTCATCCAATGAACCATAGCACCTGTACACTTCTGAGTTTCCATTGTAACAGAATGCCATGTGTTTAGCTGGACTGAATATGAATGCCTTTGGTTTTTGGCAATATTTTAGAACCAGTGTATACCACTTAAGATGTCCCATTGTATTTGATTAATTGCATTTTTAAACTACATTTGTTGACTGCTAGTAAATAGTCAGACTTTTCCTGTAACTGAATGTTAAGTGCCCTTCAAGACATTATTCTTCAAATGTAATTCCCTTAGATTTATTTGTGCTCTGCATTTAGGCTTTTATGATTTTTGAATGAAAATGTAGTCCCTACTGTACCTTGCTTTTTGCCACGCACTGTACAAGTCAAGGGTATTTCTAACTTTAAAGTATTAACTGTAAGGAACTAACCATTAAATGAGTGTTGTGAAATTGATTCTGTTCCTAAATGTGTAATTCAGATTTTAAAGGTTTAAGTTTTAGCAAGTCTCAAAGACCCTTACTCACAGCACACTTGTGTCAGAGAACACATTAGGTCTGAATTTCAATTAAGCCTTTTCAAATGTTTTTTTTTTTTCTGGCATTCTGGAGCATTTTGGTCTTTCTGTGCTTAAAATGTAATTCTCAGTGTCATATCTCAGAACAAATTATGCCCTACAGTACACCTACTATAGGTTTACAATATGCCTGAAAAGAAATTTGTCATGCTTGTACTGTTTTTCAAAGGCAGATTCATTTTCCAATACTGTATATTTACCTTATGCAAAGTCAAAAGTCAAACGGCATCACACTTTTGTGGGTCAGTGCGTTCACGATTAAGAAAAAAGGCAAACAATTCCCAGTCTTCACTCTAAGGTGGGGGGTCAGGAATGGGATTTCTGCGTTTATGTGCAAGAAATAATTGTAAAGCTGAAGTGATTACAACCTGTAAAATTTGTGCTACCAGCGGAAAACAAAGAAAGCTATTCACTGTGCAATTTTACAGACCTCTGAAGGTTCCTTGAACTTGAACTTGAACTTGAACTTGAACTTTATTGCCATATGTAACCGGTACTGGTACAATGGAATTCTTACTTACAGAAAGTCTCTCGATTGTAAAACAAGTGTAAAAAACAAAACAAAGTGCAAACAGTGCATCAAGACAATGTACAAACAAACAATAGACAATGTGCAAGTAAACATGTAGACAGTTTGAATGTAAACAATACAGACGTGTAAACAATGACTGGAGATGTGCAATAGATAAGAAATCATAAAGAGGTAGATGGTGATGGTGTAGGTGTGGTCCGAGGGGGATGGCTAAATGTTTTCGCCAGTCTCACTGCTTGTGGATAGAAGCTATTGAAGAATCTAGTGGTAAGTGTCCGTATGCTCTTATATCTCTTGCCTGAGGGCAGTGGGGTGAAGAGCTCATGCCCGGGGTGGTGACTGTCCTCTGTGATGGCCAGAATTCTACCACGGCAGCGGTCCTCATAGAGCTGTTTAATCTCGGTGAGACCGCAGCCGATGATCTTCTGGGCCATTCTCTGCAGTGCCTTTCTTTCTCGCGAAGAGGTGTTGCCATACCACACGGTGATCCCGTTGGTGAGGAAAATGTTGGTGGAAATGATCTAAATGAACTTTGTAGAAAAGGTGTAACATAAGTGCACAAGAATCGTCACTGCAACTAAGATTGTGATTCAACTGTAACAAATTAATTTGGTGAGAAGTCAGAGTATCTATGAGACGTATGTTATTTTCCCCTCTGAAATATATTGAAATAAATGAGTTCTGTGTGTTGTAATGTAGACATAATGTGCAGTGTCTTGTGTACCCTGGAACAGTGGGAGGACAGTGGGAGGAGATGGCAAACACATCGAATAAGATCAAATAAACTGCAATCTTTTTTTTGTATTGTATTTAAGAGTTACAGCCAAAAGTTGTTTTCCAGATATTTTAATTCCTAACACTTCTTTGCATTTGCTAGAACCTGGCCACCATTATCTTTGTTCAGCTACAATGTTATTCAGCTTTATTATTAAAATAAAACTAACTCTTCTAGATTTTTAATTATCTTTACCCTTCAAATGATTCAAGTATGTAAATATATGAGGCACAAAACTGGAGTTCAGCAGCTGTGAAGAGAAATGTGAAAAAGAGGAAAATAAATCTTTAGCTACAGTATTACAATGTCAAGATTGTATTAAAATATCAATAATAATTGCACTGTTGACATTAATACATGATGCTTTAACGGTATAATTAAGTATTGCATAAGTATAGCGCATTTTATCCCAGAGGAACCCAAAGACCTTTGATTCTTTAGAAGGGGACCCACTTCACTCACCACAGAAAATGATGTGCAGTACGCATTACACACCAGAAATCCATCAACCATCAGACCATGTACAGAAGTGAGAAATTACTTCACCAGCTGAATCAAGGGGAAACATTGGGGAGGTCATTATATAAACCCAGAGAGGAAATTGGATACCGGCGCTATCACCCCTACTCTTACAAATGGTGTCTGGGGACTTTTAGCTGGAAGTGTTACAGCATGTGGTCCAGATGAATGTGTGGCACTAGCTGGCTCCAAGCACCACTTACAAATGCAACCTGGATTTCCATAGAAATCTCATTCAAGTAATGACCAGACCCAACTTTGCTTAGCTCTGATATCTGACAAGATCAGACAAGAAGGAGGTGGAGCTGTGTTAATTCAATCGATGATATTGGCTAATTATTATATAATTACCATTCTCAAGATCATTCTATACATTTGAATTTCAATAAAGCAATGTTACAGTATCATGCTTGTACCTCAAAGCTGGCTATAATGAGCTAGTGTGTGCAGAAAGTAGTATATTGGATTTTTAGGTTTTTGCAGCCTATGCATACTGACGCAGCTACCTACCTGAACTATTAGGTTTTTAGTCAAGGTCAATGCTGAATTACTGTACTAAGATGCTTTGCTCCACAGCTGCCTATGGAGACATGAACATAGCTGTGGACTGCTGTCTGGATGTCAGCAATGCCAAAATCCCCATGAAGATAGTGAAGACCTACCAAAAACAAAGCAATAGAAATGGCTGCAAAATTGAAGCTATGGTGTAAGTACTTGTTGAACATCCATTACAATAGAATCCTGCATCTTTCCGTCTCTTCCTGAGCTGACCAAAGAAAGATTCAGACAGTACTCCTTTATTTATTTATTGAAATTGAGTGAAATTCAGTTTCGAGGGATTCCAGTTTGTATTCCTCTGTTGATTCTGTAGAGATGTGAAATGCACATTCCAATTTTCACCATTTAAACCCAAACTTGAGAAAGAGAGACTGAATACTGTATAAGTGACTTTTCTGAGACACACAGATGTGCAGGTCCTTAAATGAGGCCCAGGAGGACAGATATGCTTAAGGATTACATAATTACAGTATGGTAGAACAACCCCAAAGCAAGAAGTGATACTGTACTTTCAATTTACTGTGAGAAAACAGATCATGACAAAATAATCTATAAATTTTTATCTTTTCAATATTACTTTGGTATTGCTTGATTACACCAATTTGGACAATGTATTCATTAATCACAACCATTAACTATAATATCCAGATATTGCATAAGACTGAAAGTTAAAATTGGAGTTAATGAAAACACTAGCGTTTATTAAATCTACTTAGCTTTTATAATATCACTTTAACTTCATTTACAATTTGAAAGTAAATAGAATACTGAATTATAGTAATATGAGTTTAATTAGTGAATGCAAATTAAGTAACATAGGGGAAAATAACTGATGATGAAGAATTTTGTCAAATGTTGGGGTTTCTTCAGCTTTTAATTGTAATGCTTTGCAAATCCTTCCTTCAAAATTTATCCCGTGTTCCTGTTTTATCTTTCTTTTTACTACAGTACATGGGTACACCTCATTCATCTATATATAAATTGATCAACTTCCACAGTCATGATTATTAAAAAATTGTAAATAAATTAACAATTGAAATGGAATATTTGAAAAAAGAAACGAAAAACAGCAAACACACCACTAGACGTCATCCAGGGGCCAAAATCCAAGTACAGAAAGCTGATATCCTTTAGTTCCAAAACAGGTGCCCCTGAAATGCATTTTAATTTGGAATACACAGGTAGTGGTAAACCACTGACAAAAGAAGAGCTGTAACAGGACCTTATCCATTTTTTTCAGGTTCATTACCAAGAGAAATGTGAAGCTGTGTGCTCCCCATAACGAGGCCTGGGTGAAAGAGCTGACAGAGAAAGTTGACAAGAGGAATAAGGGATGTAAGGGATTTCATTTCAAGGTAACTGTCCTGCTCACTGCAACTTTACATAACCACACAAAGCATAACACTTAGAGTCCTGTGAAAACTGTAAAGACATTAGTTCGCCTGAAAAAGTCAGAACAATATTGCCTTTTTATACAGTAGAACATTTTAGTTTGAACCCGTACAGACATTTGTCGTGAAACGTTTCTATTTTTCTGATGAAGAAGGGGAATCAGGGATTTTTCTAACCTAGAACCACAACCACGAAAAGTTTCACTTCAAAAGGGCAGAGTTTCCTTTGCCAGAAAAATTCTATGGCAAACAAAACCACATTAATATTGTAACGCATACGGCCACCATTGCAGGTTGTTCAAGCCGGCTTACCAGCACGGTGACGCCACCGCCATTCTCTGTGAATAGCAGGGACCGCAGCCGTTGGGCTGAGGGGAGATCTCCCTTTAGCTCAAGTGGCTGGGTCCCCAACGATGGGGGGCCGACCCGAGGTGGCAGTGGTGAGGGCGCATGTGAACCTGAGAGTGCTACAATATTAATATTCTCAGCACTGGCTACAAAACTGTGTCTGTCTTTCTTTGATCTGTGGTGGCCCTTTCACAAATCATTTACTACTGTCTGGTGCTATTCCAGCATCAAAATAAGGGTCAGAAAAGTGAAGCAACTCTTTGCTTTTCTTAATAAAAATAATACATGAGCCATGTACACTTTTTTTTGTACCATTTGTTTTGTGGAAATACTCAGCTAATTTTAACAGTTAAATTTTGAGGTTTTGTTGCTCACAGTTCTGATTTAATCGCATAAGCAGAGTTTTTTGTTTGCTGAGGTTAAATGAGAAGTACAGTATGTAGAAGTAGTTCAGGTGGGTGGCTGCATCAGCATGCGCAGTCTGTGAAGGAACAAGTAATAGGTTTATCCCATGCTGAAAAGAGAAGAGAGAAAACACAATGTTTCAGCATAGAATAAACCTATTACTTGTTCCTAAATGAGAAGTGTTGCTAATATAACATATAGATACATATAGGTCTGATAAATAGATAAAGCTAATATATTTTTATACATGCATTTAAATAAGAATTTTTGTGATTTAGTGCATTGTCACTCAGTACACTGCCACTATACACTGTACAATGTCACTATATGCAATATTTAGTATTAATAGCAATGTAAAGATATCTTGTCAAACATGCTACAATAAAGATTGCATTTACAATGTATTATAGCTGAAATGTTAAATCATTATAACTAAAACGTTGTGTCATTATATTCTGGTTTTAATAAATAGACTGACTTGATTCATATTTATGCTCCAGTATAACATCTGGAAATCATTTTGTCTGCAAGTACTGCTTTCTGGGAAAAATGCTTTAGCTTGGCAAAAACATTTTATGTTCACTGGGTTTCACTTGAAGTATAATCCACAAATGTTTTATTATGATTACATAGATTTTTAACTGGATCACAGTGAAGGTATTAGCACATTAGAGTGGGCCTAAAGAGATCCAGTTCTTTTAGTCCGTCAGTGTGAGACATGGATCAGTAACATGTTTATTCCCAGCTACAGTTGAACATAATATTCAAAACGAATAAAAGAGCACTGCACAATTTCAACATGTTATCCCTCATTTTAAAGTTGAAATTTGTAATAATATGTCTTAACATTGTTGGCCTTTTGTATTGCCATTATGCCGAGCTTTATGCCCCATTATGCCCAGAAGATGCAAATGATGTGTGTAGAATGATGAAGTTGTATGGGACAAATAAATCTGATGTTCTTTTTTTTTCATCACAGAAGCCCTGGTGTCATAACCTGAGCTAAGGAAGCTTGTGGTTCCACACTTTCACGCGTGAACAGTGGCAGGAGCAGCAAAAAGCTCCAACGATAATCTGAGCTTTTGGTTACAGTAGGGAAAAGAAAATGTGAAAATATGGCCATTGTTAATGCACTGTGTTGTTCATTTATTGTTTTGCAGAGTTTTGTTTTTTATATCCTTTAATACAAGGTGACTGATAAGCCTGGGATGTGTTCCCCTGGTTACTTCCTATGGTTCTTGTGAAATGTGATGTTTTTATTGATAATAAACAAAATGTGATGTCTATAGACTGTACTGTCTGAGGTTATGAGTGCAAGGATTGTCCCCCCATCTCCTTCTGTGACAGCAGTGGAAATCATGTGGGTCATGCATTTTCAGTGCAAGCACAAACTCGTAGCAGTCTAAATCTATATTTTGCATTGATTTTAAGAGTAAGCTGAGCTACAGTATATTGCATTCAAAGAATTGAAGATTGTTCATTTTGTACTACTTTTCAATTTAACACCCACCACATACACAGAACAATAAACAACATTAGCAATGTATTCACCTTTTGATTCATTCTCTCTAAAACATGAGCAGTAATTCAAATGTATCACTTGATAGGTACATGACCAGTATGATAAGGTGTGAAATATGTGGCATCAGGTCAATTATTGAACAAGACACTACAATTAAACATGTTAAATACTACTGTTAACCAAAAGCCTTTACTGGAACGTATATTGGTATTAAGTAAAAATTATAATTTTCTAAGAAAAAAATGTAATTGATGCCTCATAATTTTATTTTTACATTTATTAGAAGAATGGAGAATGTAAACCCATAACTGATTGACATTTTGTTTTTATAATGTATCTCCCTTTAATATGTTAATATATTTTGGTTATATAAAACCAATTACAATTACAATTGGGAAAACCTATATACCCAGCCTTTTGAAAGCTAACACACAGAGATTTCTGGTGTCAAAGTGGAAAGTAACGGGGCGTTGTTTTTTTATATTGTATTGTACTTAACAGAAAGGATTTTTAATGTGTAAAATAACCATGTGCAGTAAACACAAAATAAAACAACTAAATTTCATCTTAAAAAATTGAAAACGCAAGAAACTTTTAAAATGTTTTAAATGTTTTAACAAAATATTCAAAAAGACTGTGTCATATTTTCTTGTTTAAATGTTTTTTTAAGAACTATGGTGTTTTGACTGTATTTTCTAACCTTATGAAACTTTGTCATTTCTAAATAAACTATTTGATTCTATATCCTCTGCACTGTTGGAGTTTTTTTTTTTTCAATAAATTGTTCTTGTCTAGCTAGCCTACAGCCCTGTTTTAACCAAAATCTTTTTTGAAGATTTTAGGACAGAAATCAGGAGACACTTTACAGAAAGAATTGTGGGGGTATGGGATAAATTCTTTAACCACATTCCTTATGCTTTGCAATCTCTGCCATGAAGAGTGTAAGAATTAAAATAACATAAAACACTGGAAACTTGTCTATGGAAATACATTTCTAGAAGTACAAGCATACAAGCACCCTCGTATAAGCAAATAATAATAATGATAATAATTGCTTACACTTATATAGTGCTTTTCTGGACACTCCACTCAAATCGCTTTACAGAAAATGGGGACTCCCCTCCACCACCATCAATGTGGGGCCCCAAATGGATGATGTGACAGCAGCCAAAGTGCGCCAGTGTGCTCACCACACATCAGCTATCGGTAGGGAGGAGAA